AACTTCAGGAAACTAGATAATACATACAGAAGATGATCCAAAAAGGCCAGCACAAAAACTTAAAAATTTTAATTTAAAACAAACATTTACAGTAGTATTAAACAACAATCATCAGATTATAAAGAACATTCAGAAGTTGAAAGCAAAATTGAATAAACTATTTTAAATTACAAATGTTGGCCTATGATTGGACTTGTTTATTCGAAATCCAATAAAAAACACTGTACATTTTGTGATGTCACTATCACTTCAATCCTATCATAGGCCAACATTTGTAACTTAAAATATGTAAGGAGTCAATTCCGACCTGTTTTATTTTTATTTTGTTTGGGGATTATTTTAAGCTTCTTTTCTTATTTATTTTTGAGATATTTTATTTTGTTAAGGATAGACTACCACACCTCACCGAGATAAAATTCTAAATCAAAAACTCCCCTCACTATGACAACTGCTGACTGCAAACCAACTACGTTATCAAACCCGAGAATGACATCTCAGGGAGATTTCCAATAGGGAGTAGTTAAACAAATCATCTCTCATCCGAATTGTTACCGAAAATTAAAAGGAAAAAATATAAAAGAATAATGTAAGGGGGATGACATGAGATAGAGAAAAGGATTACTAGAATCAAATAAATGTCTGAAGTTAAGTATGTAGATAGGGTTGAGCAGGCATAACAATATAATATCACCACAACAGCACAATAAAAAGATGAGATGAACAACAATCAAACGAGATGAAGCTAAGGATCAGATGAAGCTAAGGATCAAATGAAGTTAACGAAAAAGGCTTTCAAGTTCACTGGCAGAGTAGAAGTCATTGGTGACAGTTAGGCAAGTTAATTTGTAAGATTACTTTGCAAATTTTCTGTGTATAGCCCAATTTCACATTTCTTATCAGTTCTTGTGGAGATAGTTGTAAGATAGTTCTACGTTAAATCCCCAAGTGCTGGGAAAGTTTTGTATATTATTTCTTTTCATTTGATAAAGCATCTTTGTAACTATGTTCCTCAAAAATTACTGGGGTAATTAATTAATTAAATAAATAAATAAATAAATAAATAAATAAATACAAACAAAACCTTTTATCTCGCAGCACTTCAACAAAAACTTGAACATTTTTGGCCTTCACCAAGGCCTGCCTCAGGATTTTTAACAAAATCGAATTTCCAGTCAAATGTCAAAACGATGATGTTCGAAAATCGCTTTTTTAAAATTTTGAGTATCTCATCACATCAGGCAAATTTATACAGTTGTTTGACTAAAACTATAAAAATGCGATCATGTGATCCATACCAATTCACCAACCTGAGACAGGTGTTGGTGAAGGCCGAAAATGTTCAAGCTTTCGTTGAAGTGCTGTTACTGTATAAAAAATTTTGTCTGTATTTATTAAAAGCATCTTTTTTTACATTTTTGAATTTTCTAACTTATTTCATATTGTACATAGTCAGTCATAAAATAATAAATAGAATTTTTTCCTCTTTACATATAGTAGTTATTTCAGGCAGTTCATAGATTACTAGATTATTTTTGATCAAACTAATTCATTCATATTTCTTTTTTGCCCACTCAAAAGTCCATGTCTAACATCGACCAACCCTCGGTTTACATAACACACATTAGGTAATTTCCAGGTTTTCAAAAAGTAAGACAATACAAATAGTCTATTCAATTTTGCTTTCAACTTTCGAATATTTTATATAACCTAATGGAAATTGTTTAATACTACCAAAAATTTGTTTTAAATTAAAATTTTATACATTTTGTGCTGAATTTTTGGGTTTTGTTGTGTATGCAGAATACTGTCAATTTGGATTCGGATTACTCAGAAATATATTGTATGTATGCATTAAAAGATATTTACGAATATTTTAAAAATCTGAGAAGATATCAGAAAGAATTAACTAATAACTTAATAATATTAATATAATATAAAGAAATATACTTATTAAACAGAGCTGTGAAAACCAGATGAATATCATTTAATACTAGCTAATATAGTCAATGTAATATATGTAAATAGATTTATTTTTTACTACAAACTAGTAAAACTTGGTAATTTAATATTAATATACTAAAAATAAATAAAACTTTTTTACAAAGAAAAATTCTTTGTTTCAGTCATTTTTTCGTTGTTCACACCATCAGCAGTTCATTAAAAAACACAAATACTCATGGAGACAACCTTCCTTTTTAGGCTACTGACTTCCTTTTTAGACTTTATTAATTTAGAAAACTCCGAAAGTTGATCGTTAATGTCCCCAGAGGGGGCCAAGTATGTAGAGTTTAGTAAGAATTTTAGGTCTTTATATTCGACTATTGCTGTGGTAGAGAAGCAATTCGACAGGTGAGGAGCCAGATAGAGTGAGATTCCCCGATTAAAATTAATAATCACCGTTTGGATCCCCGAGTGGAGACACCCGAAAAGGCGATGTCAATGCTAGAGTCAATTGCATGTTTTACTAAGTGGTCAGTCGCGGTAGAGGACCTATCCAGATTTATCTGTATTAATTTTATAGCCATTATTACCTACTTTGTTATTAACTACTTAGAATTAGCCTTAAGATTAGATCTACTGTCGAGTATTAGCTCGGCTAATCTCGCAGTGATATAAAAAAATAGGACACCTGCGGTCCCTGGCCGAGTGGTGGATGTCAACGTGCTCCGACGGATGTCTTCTTGACGAGTTGTACCTCACACAGTTTATGCACTTGAAGTCTGGGGGTTCTACGTCGCATTCTCCTGTAGGGTGCGACTCGCTGCACAGGTGGCAGACCTTTTTAGCCGTGCATTGAGATTTTAAATGATTATAGCTCAGGCAGTTATTACAATGTTTATAATAAAATAATTCGTGGACTCGCCTCAAACTCCATCCCATGTAAAGAATGTTGCCCGCCTGGAAAAACGCCCTTCTCAACACTGGAGAAACGGTGATCACCCACGACCGTTCCCCGTTACATTCCTTGACGTTATGTATGTGTAAAAGACGTTATGTATGTGTTTCTTCACATCCCCAAGTAGGTCTGTATGTTGGGCCTCCACGAAGTCCCTGATGTCACCCTCGTTGAGCTCCCATCGGACCCTGGGTACGATGATGCAGGGGTTGCGAAGCCCCAGCGACCTTACCCGCATGTCCTCCCTTTTACTCAGTGATTCCACCAGTCTCTTGGCTCCTTCAATTGAATGGCAATTAATTAGTATCCCATTCTTGATGGGTCTCGTAGTTTTAACTCCCACTTTTAATTTAGTGACGTTTACGGTTGTCTCTAATTCTTCCCTAGTCTTTTCTGGGGACTTCCCCTCTTCGTTATTATAAACTAGAACGACTTTGTCGTTCCGTGGAGGAGGTCTCAGCTTCAGAACAGAGGTGTACGTCTGTTCCTTTGTTGGGACGGGAGAGGGACTTGAAGTACGAGCATTTAGGGTTAGCAATTCCTTTGTTTTTAGGGCTTCTAGTTGTTGGAATTTCGTCCACAGGGAGGCGAACGTGTCCACGGCCTTCTGGAGGTTGGTTTGGATGCGGTTTTTGATGTCATTTCTTAGATTTCGGCTCTCGTCCAGGGCCTTGAAAGTGTCCTCGATAAAGAAATTGAAGTCCTCGGGACTTGGCTTCAGGGTACCGCACATACTTACCCTCGATAATTTTTTCGATATAGTAGTTAAAATGTAAAAAATGTTAAAAGCGTCCTCTGGTGCTCTTGCCACAATCACATGATACATTTTAACTTATTTTTACTTGGTAATTTAGGTAAGTTTTGTTGTAAAATTCATAAAAATTAAAATCAGAGGTAAATGTATATTTTACAAACTATCACAATAAGGACAATTATAAATAAACTTTGAAGTCATCTTATGTTCTTTTCAAACCATAAACACATAATTAAAACATCAGTGAAGTTTTCTTTAGGCTCTTCTCTGCCTTCAAATATGTAAACAGACAATTTTTAACAAAATTCAATGCCTAGAGAACTGTAGGACCATTTATACATATTTGTGGGCAAAGAAGAGCCTAAATGAAAAGGATAACTCTACTAATGTTTTAATTGTATTTCTGTGTTGAAAAGAACGTAACAAGACTTCAAATTTCATTTGCGATTGTACTCATTGTGATATTTTGTATGCTTATTAAATATAATCACGTATAAAACAGGGATAATGGTAATATGCTAAACTAAATTTATATATAAACACTTGGATATTTGTGTGTTTAACAGGTTTTAATCTTATTTCGTTAACAGTTTAATTTACAATTTTATTATTATTCTTCTATTTTAATTTTAATTTGAATGCCAACAGAAAAAAACATTTATACTTTGTACCAAGCTCAAAATTATTAGAAAAAATGCTAAATTCAGAACCAAGAGAAATTTTATTCAGAAATGTTTTTGTTCTCTTATCAGCTCAGAGGTTTATGAAGTATTTTAGAATGAATATAATAAATTTATTGTATTCATTCTAAAATGCTTCTTAAATCTCTGAGCTGATAAAAATCTTTTAAGAGAACAAAAACATTTCTGCATAAAATTTCTCTCTGTTCCTAAATTTAGAAACTTTTCTAATAAATTTGAATGCCAATCTTATATACGTATCATTTTTAATCTCTACATATATATTTTAAAAGCATACTTTTAATAATAAATAATGATTCTGAGTGGTATCACAAAGATCCTGATAATCAACTATTTTTTGTTTTCTTTTTGTGTAATTATATTTTCATTCACATGTTTGCAGATTTCACATTTTAAAATGTCAACTTATAACCATACACACACANACCACACGAGTCTCCGTCTTCTCCATTTTTGACAAAGCATGTGCACATTGACAATCTGCTAAGCTGTCGTGGCAAAACTTTACGACAAATCAAGCGGAAATTGGTATCGTATCTTTAGCAAGGATGGCTGAATTATTTCCGCCAAAAATTAAATTGATCGCAGCGCCGCATATAGGCAAGGCTGCGAACTTTTCGAACAGCCCTTTTATTATTTGTGTATTTTAATGATTTTATGTTGTACAGTACAACAAAATCCTGCCCTAAATCATTCTTCTTTTCAAATGTTTCTGAAATTATTTACTATTTAACCATTAAAGCTTATTGTTAATGTAGTACTGAATCCCTTAGTCATTAATAAATCATTATATGTAGTGCATTAGATTTAGCATAAACAATAATATATATGGTCAATCCAGATCATTTATATATTATTTTTTTTAGTATAAAATGTTTAAAATTTCTTTTCTTAAAAAAAAATGTTTGTTAATTTAGTTTATATTGGTTAAACTTACCTCATTTATTTTGAGATGAGAAAGAGAAGAAACATATCTTTTTAAAGTATCCTGCAGATAATTAGGAGAAAATCTATATAAATTATTCTATGATTAAAGACTTAATCTTAAACATCAATGCAATTGTTATTAGAAATATGAGTTTTAATACAGTAGTTTTATAAAGTTTAAATGCAACAATTAATGTTTTAAGATGTCTTAAACAAATGTCTACCTATAACTTTATTATTGTTAACTTCAACCATAAATCAGTTTATTTTAATTTTTATATTTTTAAATTTAATATATCATTGCTATTTCTTACAAATGTATTTAATGTAACATAAATATTCAAAGCATTTGCTATATAATGTACTAATTTGTTTCATAACAAAATATATGCACAAATCAGTCTTTGTAATGCCAAAAATTACTAATCCAAGTCTTCAAATATTGTCAGTGGTGCCTCTCAATCCATTATTCAAAATAATTATGAAAGTAGCTTGCTATTGATTTTTTACATCAATAATTATCAGGTTTTAGACTTGTTTTAGACAGTTGTTTCAGAAGAAAATACATCATAAAATTAAGTAAATTTTATATATAAAATACTTATTAAATTTGAATATATTTGTGTAAATTATAATCAAATTTATAAGGTTTTATTAATATACACAATGTGGATGAATGAGAAAAAATAAGGATTAAGATTTTTATCAGAATTTTACTTCCTCTTCAGAAGAAGATCTAAAATTGTTTTTATTCAATTGCAAATAATTATTTTTCAATGAAACAAATATATTAAATTTAATAATTTATTTAATACTTACTAAAGTTGGAATTCTAGCTTCGATGCTCATGTCCACTAACACTGCTCGAATTGACATTGACGGCCAGTCATCAATCTTTCAAAAAATGAAATATATGAATGTTATAAACTAATATAAACAAATTTAACAAATATGAATCTATCAATACTTCAATTTAACTATTGTTAATAATATCAATAACAAGCCTGTTAAATTCTTTTTTAAATTAAACAAATGATGTTTATTATTCTGAAGTTATAGATATTAAATAAGTCACACATTTCATAAAAAGAGCATTCGGCATAGAATGGAGGAACATTTCTTAAGCAGTTTAGACTGAACCAAGTATTACCCATGAGCTTGTACAGGATTTCGTTGCCAAAGGATTAAAATAGAATAAAAAAAGTACATATGCCATAAGTGTTTGAATACGATCATTTCTTTAAAAAAAAGACAATTATTCCAAGCCAGGCATAGATTACAATGGGTCAGTAACAATCTTAGATTACATGCCATTCACCGAATTGAATTCTTGGAAGCCATGAAAAGAAAAAAGGAGGACATTATAATAAGTTTGCAAAAGAAACTTAGAATAAGCTTTATTAAGAAACTCAAATGGATTTTTACAACCAATTACCATCAAAAGCAAGAAAGAACATAGTAGAAGAACCTAAATACTTGCAAGAACCAGATATTACCTTACCAAAAATATGTGGAGGAAGCATTCAAATTCAGCCACAAATTTGTTCCTGATGATCTTCCTCCTATAGAATCATCAATAGCACATGTAGAAATATTCTGTAATTATCTATCAGCAGAAACTACGATTAAAACCAAAAACAGACTCTCTACAAAATTGCAATATATATATATAAACACATAAAAAAATTCAAATCTAATACAATGATAGCAGCCTATAAAACCAAATGTTGGTGCAAACTGAACAACATAGTCTGTTTTTATAGTGATAAAGGTGGTATACCAGTGTTCAAAAACCTTGACTCCTACAGAGAAAAATTTGTGACTGGAGAGTCACAAATTGACATGGCAAACCTTTTCAATGCCATGTCAGGATAATACCACTGTGTCCCGTTAAATGCAGAATCTGCAACGGCAAATGGTTTTTGTTAGAAACTAGGTCACACGAGAGGTCACATGCATAAGCAACAGGATTCCGGGTGGAAGACTGTGAGACAGCATGATGGAAGTAATGCATTCACAGAAAAGTTATACAAACACATATACCCATTTATTTGTTCTTAACAATTTGCACATAAGATTAGTAGAATAAGACTATCAAGCCAATTAGGAAATTCTAGGCATGTAGATACGATAACTCAGTTGCACGTAAGAGAGAGAGTTCACAATAGAGCACAAGGGAATAAATAACTTGTAGAGGAGTAGGGATCTGGTGTTTGCAGGTTGGGTCAATAAGATAAAAGTTCTCGAAGACAGTTCATATTCCATAAATCCACTGTAGAAGATGTGGTTGCAGACAAGAGGGATGAAGTATCTACAGCGGAGGTTGCAGAAATATCCATTACTGATGTAAAGCCGATGTATCCAACAAGAAAATAAAATCAACGTCTCTGAAAGAAGTAACTGAGGCACACACAATTGACCAGCTTGAGAAATTGGCAACAACTGATTCAATTGACCACTAGTTGTCATATTAAATCAGTAAAATTGAGACAGCATGTCAGAAGGTCACAGGAAAGAGTCTCTTTCAATGCTGAGAACATGTAGAAAGAGATGCTCCCAGGTGTGAAAGTTGACAGATATCACTGCTGACAAAGTTATACTTGAGAAGTTATATTGTTATTTAGTTATGTTGTTTAAATTGAAGTCTGGATTCTCACAAAATCACCAATGAGCTAGTATTCTTGAGATATTCTCTCAAGAATACTAGCTCATTGGTGATTAGCAAAGACCCTATCAATCCTCTTATACAAAAAGTGAAACTGCTAGCTAAAGATAAGACATTTCCAACATTAAGACCAATGTTAGAAAATACACATGTACCAACAATAACAATGGAAAAATTGTTACATCAACTACTTAACAGAATTGGCCATAAATCTTTATATACAATTAGTAAAACTGAAGAAATCATTGTTGCACTGAAGAACATATAAAGTGAAGAAAGAGATGTATTGACAGTAATGGATAGAGAAAGATTAATGTAACCTTTTTCCATCTATCAAAATAGAAGTGTCTATTGCCTTAACCAGAAATCTAATTTGCCAAAAATAGACATTAATAGAAACTGTTGTAAGAAAATTACTGATTTTCTAGACTTAATATTGACAAACTTGTATTTTGAGATAATACATTCTACAAACAAGTAGTAGGAGTACCAACGAGTTCACCCATATCTAGTAATATTGCAGAAATCATAACAACTTAAGTGGAAGAGTCAATAATCAAAGAATACAGTTAGAGAATAACTTAATTACAGATACATGGATGACATCTTTATAATATGGAATGATAAAAAAAAAGTGCAAAACGTTGTAGGAGAAATTAATAACAACTCTGTAGGAATACAACTTAATTTGGACCAAATTAGAAAAATTATACATCTACAGGTTGGGAAATGATTATGCCACAAAAGTATTAATACATAAAAAACCCTCTAAATTATACATTGGAGATCAAACCCATAAACTGAAAACTTTTAGAACTTTAATAAAAAGAATTATAACACATTCTTCTTTAATGATACACAGAAAGCAAGAGATCAACTTTATTATGCAAACGACAATTGTACATGGTTTTTCCTAGAAATGTAATTAAAGGTTTCATTAAAGCAGGAGTAGAAAAGTACAAATTTGGTCTTGATAAAGACAATAAGAAAGATCAAGCTACTAATAAGATGTGTGTAATTACAGGAGTAAAGTAATACAAAAAAGCATGATATTTCTTTAGCTATCAGACGTCTGCCTTCTATTGTGCAACTACTTCGTACAGATAAGGAAGAGATAAAGAAAATATAAAGAGCAGAAGTCAACCTTAAAAACAAGGACTTCTACTATACAGGATCAATGTGCAGAATGTTATGACAATGCATAAACGAGCATTATGAATTTGTATTAAATGATAGAAAATGTGCTACAGCATTAACAAAATGGGCACTTGATAATGAAGTACAAGTTGCCTGGAAAAACTCTATTATAGTAAGAAGTTAGACAGATAAACATACGTTAAGGATTATGAAACAATGTTTATATATATATTTATTTATTTATTTACATTCATGCAAAATTAAAGTAATTAATGCAAACAACTCCATGATTTTAGATTATAGATGGGTTGATGTTTTAAACTGTCAAAATTACAACTCTTTTGTGCAGAGTGTAATATCATGATTTACCTAGAAAAGTAATTTACGATAAGATAAGGGAAACTTGTTCAAGGTCATAAAGTGGGGGTAGCAAGTAGATTACATCTTTGTGTTATACTGTTATTTTGGATAGTATTTTCATTATTCAATCTTTGTGTGTATTATTAAATTTAATTAATTTATTTATTATTTATGTTATAGGATTTTATAGACTTTTTTATAATTTTACTTTTTAAATTTAATTAAATTTAAATTACAAAATAGTAAAAATTAAATTTTTTACTTTTTCGTAATTTATTTAATTTAATGTTCAAATGTAACAGTATTCTGTAAATATATTTGTTCCATTGCAATTTGAAAAAAAGAGTTTCTGCTGAAGATACAAAAGAACAAAAACATTTCCGATTAAAAACAATTCGTTTGGTTCCTGAAAATAGCATTTATTTAATTTTTCCATATAAATTTCTTTCCTATTTTCTCTTTTTCAGACAGCTGTTCTTTGAAAGTTTGTTTTAACTGGAAAGCCTCAATAATAAAGGTATTCAAAACAGTTCATCCACTCTTAAACATTCCATAAAGCCCAAAATAGACAAAATTGAATTATAAGAAAGCTTCATTGCATTGAAACTAATTGCATTCATTCCAAGTTTTAAAAAAAATTACCTATTGGTTTAAGTTATTATAGAATAGGTAGTGTAACAATTTACATTTATTTTAAAAAATCATCTGGTTAATATTATAAAATTTACACATGTACAGTAAGTTCTTTTCTCACATTAATCCACATTAAAAAATTCACATAAAAATGAAATTTTCCCATTTAAATATACATAAATTAGGGAGATATTTTCCACAAATTCCAAAAATAATAAGATAAATTAATAATAAACATTTTATTTAGTTATTTATTATGATTATTATTAAAAAGTGTCTATAAAACCTCAGAGACATTACCACAGAGTGCATCCAAAACATCATTGGAAGACGTCAAGGAAGACGAAAGGATCAGTGGATCCAAGATCACTGGTGGAAGTCGATTGATGAGAAGAAAGATGCAAAACTTAAAAGAAACCAGGCTAAAACAATAGCTGAAATGGAGGAACTAAGCCAAAGATACACCGAGTTGGATAGATGTGTAAAGAAAAGCTGTCAGAAAGACAAGAAGGAATGGTTAGAACAAAAGGGCACTGAAGCGCAGGAGGCTTCCGACTAGAATGACTTATATCATGTAGCAGGCAGAAAGAGTTGGGCTGGCATCCACTATTTTGACCAGAATGACTCCAAGACTCTGTACCGCATAGTCAATGAACTGATTGGGATAAGGAGTAACTCCAGCATTCCAATAAAAGACAAAAATAGGAAGCTTCTGATTGCTCAAGATGAACAGAACAAGAGGTGGATAGAACATTTTCAGAAAGCATTTAATCAAGCAGAACCAACCATTATATACGATTTCAATATTGAAGATACACAGGATGAGCTTCAGGTAGATACTGGTGATATTATCCTTGAGGAAGTGGAGCTTGCAATTAAGAGCCTAAAAAGTAGTAGGGCAGCCAGTTAGGATGAAATTACAGCTGAGATTTTGAAGCATGGAGGGCAGCCCATGTTGGAGAAGCTAACATTATTGTTTAATAGGTGCTGCAATGTGGGGAGGTCCAAGAGAATTGGAAAAGTGTCACTATTCCAATCCTCAATATCAACACCCATTGATCATTAATTTCATTGATTTCAAGAAGGCCTTTGACAGTGTTCACCACGAGTCCCTCTGGAAGATCCTGCAATTATATGGTGTACCAACAAATTTTGTCACCATTTTCAAGACCTTATACCTGCATTCAAGTTTCTGCATCAAGACTGAAGGTGGTCATACAGACTTCTTTTAAATTACGACAGGAGTCAAGCAGGGTTGTGTCCTCATTGCTCTTGATTATATTATGCAGCAGGCAGAAAGTCCAGTTCACACATTGGGGCCGGCATCCACTGGTTTGACCAGGACTCTCTTGGAGATTTGGTTTTTGCTGACAATATCGCCCTATTAGAGGAAAGCAAGACAATGCTAAAGCACACCACAGCCACATTGGGTCAGGAGGCGTATTGTGTTTGTAGGCTCCGTTTTTAACTTGCGTTATCTTTGGTCTTTTTTACGATCGGTGAGTGTACTATATATCATTTTGTTGCTGTTGACGTGCGCTTTCCAATGCCGTCTTACTTTTTAAAATCGGTTTAGACCTTCGGGTGTTACGGGCTTTATTTGGCCGAGACCACGTGGTCGAACTTCGGACGGTTTTCTCTTTGACAAATTCATGTCGTACGTTTTTATGTATTACACCGCTGTGTTCACCTTGCTATCCCGATTCGATCGATATTTTATTTATTAAATTCCGATAATTATTTCGCTAGTTTCAGCGACCGTTACTTGCCGACTTTCGGCTGTTTTTTGGCCATCGTATTAGGCCATTGGCTCTGCTTTCTTGTTAGTCTTTAGGAAGGGTTAGTCTGTTTATCGTATTAAACTTTCGTATAAATCGGAGCAATACTTTTCGAATTATTGCGCCGAAAAGGCACAAAGGATGGAGGGTCAACGTTTTTCCCCACGTGGCTGCTGATCCCCGTCCTGACCCTAATTCGGTCGTTTGCATCGCTCGCCGCTCCGTTCTTTTGAGTCTTTTGACGACAGTTTTTGCTGGTTTTGGTTCACTTTGCTTTTCTGGTAACGCCATCGGTTTTGCTATTTCTCTGAACTTGGCCAGCTGACTCCTCGTGAGCTGCTCTCCAGTTGTCCTTGCTGTCATCACTCTCGGTCCACACCTCTTGGCTACAGCGACGCCATCCCACTTCCTGGCCTTCTCGATTGTCGCATCATGAAACTTTCATGCTTTACCAATTGTCCCCTCCATAGACCTTTGGATTACTCAACTGTTTTCTGATTGTTCAAGCTGGGGTTGGTGAGTTTCACTTTTTGCTTTCAATCCAACCAGTTTTCTTTCCCTTCTACCCAAGTTAGATTCAATCTTCTGGGGCAGAGTTTTACTGCCATCAGGCCTCTTTATTCTTGCAATTACACTACATTCTCCTGGCTGGTCCCTTACACCTTCCATCTCTACTATGTCTCACGTGAATAACTTGACTCAAATTGGATCGGCTACCAGTAGCAACGGATCAACCAATGTTTTGGAGGACAAAATCCTAAGCGAAGCAAACCAACATTTTATGAGAATTCTGAACCTATTGCCAGAAAAATATGGCAATAACATCAGAACAAAAGAGAGAAAAGAAGTCCGTGAAAGAGTTATGCGATTGTTCTCATGCTTGGAGCAATTCCATGGTATTCTACAGGAAGCCCGCACAACCTCACAGAAGAGTCCTACAACCAATGTTTCAACTAACCTACCTGTCTCCTATGCAGATGTGACAAAAATGAATACTAGGCCCACGTCTACAACTAGGACCATTAATAGATCTTTAAAGAGTAAATTGGACAATGAGGGCAGCGGGGGAAGTGTTGCCCTCATATTGTATCCAAAGACAGATGTAGAGGGAGAAACTATTAACATGCAACAGATAGAAAATAGCATAATAAAGAAAATCAAACCGCATGACCTGAAAATTCAAGTGAAGGCAATAAAGAGAGTGAAAGGAGATGGCATCTGCTTCAGAACCAACTCACATAAGGATGCCGAAACTCTCTCCAACGCAATTGAAAAACTTCCTGAAGTATCAGGTAAAATCAAGGGAAAAATTTCTGAGGGAAGACGCCCTAGAATAATATTGAATAATGTACCCATCTCCGTGGACGAACCAGACCTCATCCCAATGGTATTTGATCAAAACAAGGCCCTCCAGGTTGTTCCTAGAGAAGAGTTCATACAAAACACACGGATCAGCACGGTCCTCTATAGAAACAGTGCAAAAGAGAACTGTAGACACATCATTCTGTCTACGGCTCCTAGGATCAGGGACGCCTTCGTTAGATCCAAACATATAGCGGAGGAATGGACAAACATATTCCTAAATGATTACATCCCACTGGTGAGATGTTACCAGTGCTGTGGGTACAACCACATCTCAACCAGCTGTCCAGACAAACAAAAATGCAGCCACTGTGCAAAAGGGCACAGATTTGCAGATTGCCAAAGACTGAATCAAAACCCTACCTGCACCAATTGCAAGGCTGCCAACAAAGGCCTCCTCGCTCACGAAAAATTGCCGACGGATCATAATGCCTTCCATCCCCAATGTCCAATCACTCAAAAAATGAAGTCACAGACCATACGCCAAACTAACTATGGGCTCTAGTAATCCTACAACTAACTCAAGGATCCCTCTTATTCACCAACTCAACAGCAGTATTTTCTCCAATCAGAACCACTCTCTTCACAGCAATAGCAACTATCACCATCAGAACACTATCTCATTGATCCAGATTAATCTCCAGAGGGGCAAAGCCCCTTCGTCACTTGTTATTAAAACCGCTGAGGACTGGGGATCAGATATGCTTATTATTCAAGAGCCTTACTTATATAAGGGAGAGCTAACGAATTATGGCAGCTGGAGGGTCTTCCCTCCCAGAGGTTCGAAGGCGACCACCAAAACGGCCATTATTGTCAGGAACCCCAGCCTTAATGTTCAGTTTATGCCTCACTTAACTACTCCATATGCCACCACCTGTGTTATCAACAGCAATAATAACAGCATTTTTATCACCTCCATCTACTGCTCCCCGTTCGAGGACATTAATCTTATGCTGGACGACCTGGATGTGATCAGCAGGACTGTTGCCGACAGGCCCTGGCTTATCTGCGGCGACACCAACGCCAAGTCCTTCCTGTGGCACAGCCCCATCGAGGACCCAAGGGGGTACAGGATGCAGGAGTTTGTGGCGGCCATGTACCTTACTTCCTGCAATACCAGCCCCCTATCCACCTATCACTCTACCAGGGGCGACAGCTGGGTTGATGTATCACTGGCAAACATCCACATGGCCCCTTGCATCTCCCTCTGTACCACTTGCACTGAACCCAGTGCAAGTGACCACCGTTATATCAAGATAAACATTCAATTGGATACCACTCTTGCTAATGCCACCACCTACCACCATACTAACTGGCTCTTCTACCAGAATCTTATTCGTGATAACTGGAGTGTCAACGCTGCTATAACCAGCATGCATGAAGATGATATTGACAACTGTATACAAAGTCTTACCACCCTCTTGACACAGTGCTACCATCTAGCCAGCAAGGAAAAGACAAATTCTAGTACCAGTGCCTCTTGGTGGGACTCTGAATTATCCAACCACCGCAGAGAAGTTAGACGGCTCCGTAAGATCTATCAGAGGCATCAAAATGCTTATGACAGGGCCCTACACAAAAATAACTATACCAGGAAATTCAACGAGTATAAAACGCTCATCAATAGGAAGCGACATCAGACATGGAGGCAGTTCTGTAATAAATTCAATAACCCATGGTGTGAGCCATACTATGTGGCATTCAAGAAAAGGCAAATGGCAGACATTCCTTCAGCCATTAAAAAAGCCGATGGCAGCTACACAAACACCCTGGACAATGCACTTCATGAGCTTTTCGCTTACCACTTTCCTCTGGACGAACCCAATAATGATACGGATGCGCAACGTGCAATCTGCAACAACTCTAACAGCCCAGTTCTCCACGCCGACGATCCGCCATTTACCTTTAAAGAGATTAGCCACGCTATTAACCTGAATAACATCAGGAAAGCTCCAGGATTTGACCAAATCAACGGGAAAATGCTAAAAGAAGCCTTTTCCGCAATTCCAGTAACCTTCATGGCAATCTACAACCACTGCCTCTCTTTGGGATACTTCCCTAAAGCTTGGAAAGTGGCGTCAATTAAATTCATCAAAAAAAGTCCGGACGATAGCACGTTGCTCCCNGTAAAATAGCTGATTAACTGGTGTCATTATCCTGACGTTAGATAGAGACTTCGCCGTCTATATCTTATTTAACATTTAACAGCCCTCCTATAAAAAGTATCGAGATAGGATCTTACGACCCGAAACTACGAGAACTAGTTTTACCAACTAGCGCCGATTAAGTGGTACTAACAATCCTAGTGAAAGAGTACCCCAGGCTAATCTCACACTGTTCAATTTTATTTAAGAAAAATACTATATAATCAAGAAGACTCAAGCAGCTAAAGGAATGACAAAATTTACATCTGAGAAATAAAGAACATAGAAGAGAACATCGACATTATAATGGAACCTAAAACGGATCTGACGACAGAAGAACTCCAAGAACTCTTAAATAAAGAAAACTAAGAAACTCGGCGTAATATGTTTTCTCCGGAAAAATAAAATTAATGCTGATAACTGTTATTAAAGATCCTTCGAAAAAGTGGAAGGATGTCAGAACAACGGTCTTAGAATGGCATCGAAGCCAGGTTGAGGCTTGGGGATTTCTACAATTGCAATGCTATTAATTACTTACGAGAAATCCTGAAGAAGACAGAAAAGCAATCGACGTTAGACAGATTCTTTAACCCTTTCAAACGGAACAACATGACTAATAAAAATGCAAGACTGTATGTATGTACTTTTATTATTACATATAAATAAACGTACTAAGAAAGTGTATATTTTTTTTATTTTTGTGGGTCTCCAGAACGAATTAATTAAATTTCCAATAAAACTTACGGTAAATCGATAATCGGTTAACGAACAAAGTCTTGGAANATGCAAGACTGTATGTATGTACTTTTATTATTACATATAAATAAACGTACTAAGAAAGTGTATATTTTTTTTATTTTTGTGGGTCTCCAGAACGAATTAATTAAATTTCCAATAAAACTTACGGTAAATCGATAATCGGTTAACGAACAAAGTCTTGGAACAGATGTTCGTTAACCGATCACCCACACCCACTGTATTATAAAGAATTTTTACTAATTAATCAAGTTAACGTAAATTAAAACCAATGGGCAGATTAACAGAAAAAATATAAAATATTCTTGTTAAAGAAAAAATAAAATCACTGAATTTATAACTTTTTTACCGAGAAAAACAGAAAATACAAACAGTTTTTCACTGTTAATGATTATTTATTTATTTAACGCGTGAAAATCAAAAGGTTTTGTAAAATATTTTCTTTTTCGAATTTCGTCTTTGTACAAAATGTAATACAATACACATTGTCACTTTTCTAAATGAAAGACCTTCATCACTCGTACCTAATACAAGGAAAAATATTATATTAATACATAATTTTTAACTTTACAGTGTTCGAGATTAAGTGATTTGAAGTTACTTTTGGAAGTGCCATTCTCGGTTATCTAAAGGACAAACTTGTCTTTTCTTCAGCCAACGCGAAATGCAATGGAAATGAAATGAGTGCTAGAAATAAACAACAAAAACAATGAATTAAACAGATGAAATTACGCAGGCAAGAAACGAATATTACGAAATATAAGGTTCATTTACATTGCAACTTCCCCAAGCCACAGGACATTCTTCACCCTCCTGATCTTTCTGGGCTAAGCATTCGATACCTGAAAAAATATGTATTTTTTTCTTTGCAAATTATCTATGTAATGTCAATTATAGGATACTTCGAATCAACGTCGTTGTTACCTACATAAATCCGAGATTTTACATCGACAAATAGCACAAATTTCCATTTCTGTGACTGAAATTGAAAATAAAGGTGCGTTAGATAAATAATAACACAGGATATCACGAAAATAGCATTACTAACATATTACATGACTGATTAGTATTACAAAAAAAAAATCTTACCCCAATTCCACGAAGCTACGGCATTCCACTGAAAAATCTATATTATTTAAAGAGTATAAATAAAATGTAGTGAAGAAGTTTTACTTACCTTTATGACTTGAAATCTAATTCGAGTATTGTCATTATTTGACATGACAGGAATTTCGCTTGAAGTTTTCTCAGTAGCCATCTCGAAAATATTATTCTACTTGAGTAAACAAAGAAATAATAAAATGGAAATAATGATTACAATAAAATTTCGTATTGTATTCATACGAATAATCACTAAAATATATCATACTATTAATACAGTGGAACCTCGGGATACGTCTGCTTTAGAATACGTCAAATTCGGAATACGTCCTGTTTGGACAAAACAAATTTTGCTCGGTATACGACTTTTATTCGGTATACGACTTAATTATACGCGCCATCTATGAACAACTGTCGGTGTACTAGACCAGAGTAGACGTTCGCGGTGCCACAGTTTATAACTTTGTTAGATTTTTTCTGATTTTAATTTGTAAAATTTGATTATTAATCATGAATTGCAAGAAGGCAAATGAAAAGTAACAGAAAACTAAAAAAATGACTAAAATCACAACTGAAACAAAGAGATTGTTGAGAAATATGAAGGTTGCATGCGTGTTCGAGATTTTAACTGTTGCATACCGTATTCCGAGAACGACGATATTGACAATCGTGAAAAATAAAGACATTATTAAATCTGCTAACGTTGCGAAAGGGGTTAAATCAATTTCTAAACAGAGATCGAAGACATTAAATCATGTTGAGAAATTGCTTTTGCTTTGGATAACTGAAAAACAGTGTGCTAGAGACACCGTATCAGAAGCAATTATTTGCGAGAAAGCTACAAAAATACATGCTGATCTCATGAAAAATCAAGCAGGAACTAGCCAGGAAAGCGAGGTGTTTAAAGCCAGCCATTTTTTTTACATGAGAACGAATTAATCATTTTTACATTACTTCTTATGGGAAAGGTTGATTCGGTATACGTCCTATTCGGTATAAGTCCAACAATCAGGAACGGTTAGGGTCGTATACCGAGGTTCCACTGTATATTAATACATATTTGACTTATTTTAAATAGTCTCATTAGCTCTTTCCTCATATCATATTTGATAGCAAAGTTACAAATAATATTTATCAAAGAAGCTTCAAAAACTATTTATCAATTACAGAATGTTGTCTTGTGTGCTAAAGTATGGGTACGCAGTTATAGATTATGTACGTTTATTTCGGCTAGAAGATTGATGGAATGGAAAACAAATGTGAATCTAAAATTGAAAAAGTAAGGAAACGATGAGGAAAATCATCGCTACGAAATTTGTGTATATAACAGAATTCTTAATAGAACTTTTCGAAGGAACGTATAGAATAAGAAAAATAAAAATAATAAAATGTAAAGAATTCACCCATGACAGAGTGTATACTGTATAGCCACTACATAACACTGATCCTACTCGAAAAAGAAATTAATCAAGTGGAAGTTTGTGATTATTCTTCGTGTATCTAATACGTACGTAAGGAACAGTATATCATAGAGCAGTGGTTCTCAACTGGGAATACATGTACTTCTAGGGGTACGAGCATAAATCGAAGGGGTACATCTAACTTTCATTATAAAATGGCGTATGTTAATCAATTTGCTGTAAATTATTAACACTTCTTATGTTATTATTTGATAAGTATATTATATATAGATGGCTGAAATGTATTTATTTATACCACTGGTCTAGTTAGTTAGAGTTTTTTATGGCGCTCAGTTATAAGGGCTGTATACACCTAACTCAGTAATTATAAAATTTACATACAAAAATATAAGGGGTATTTGACAAACAACTAAGGGACTAATAGGGTACATTAGCAAGAAAGGTTGAGAACCACTGCCATAGAATCTTCCAGGGAGGATGTTCCTACTAGTATTTTTTAGCCTGTTTCATCAACCTACTCCCTCATTTTTGGCGTTTGTAAAAACTGAATTTCTTATTAGAACATAATTAATACTCACGATTAAGTTTTAATGACGTACCTCAGTCAATGATATTTATGCAAAATGTAGAAAAATTGCTCGTAGAATTTTAAGAGCTTTTATTATAAAAACATCCGCGTTCGAATATCGAAGAATAAACCAATTTCACGCGAATATTCAAACATTCTAATATCGGATTTCAAATATTAAAACATTTTTTGGATTTCACATATTTTAAATTGCGTGATAGGTAGTTAGTATTCTATTATTTAAAATATTCGAATACCCTTTCTAACACCCTCGCCTGCCGGCTTGAATTTTCAGTTGTCTCACGGGGCAAAGAACCTCACCTGCCATTCCATCGAACCCCGTTGTTTGCTTTATTTCAATTATTCTTGGTGAGAAGCAGTCCAATTTTTCACTTACTTGGGCTCCTTGGTCCTAGCGGATTCGACTTTCCGAAGTTCATGATAAAAGTTACGTGACGATTTGTACATTCTCACTCCGCCGTTATCGGTTTGTTATTTCTTGTCGGAGAAACGAGCGGATATACGCTGACGTCACTTGTAATGACCACTCCTCATTTAGACGAAGCCATGGTGAATTTGTTACAGCACTACGTTAGTCAACAACTTAACGTTAAGGATTTAATTCACGAATTTTATTGTTTTAACTAGCTGCAAGGACCCGCTTCGCTGGGATTTTATTTGTTGGTACATTTGTTTGTAATATAGTTGTTTTTATATATAAAAGACTGTTTTTCTAAGTAATCTAGAATCTAGCTGCAAAGACCCGTTTCGCTGAGTTTTTATTTGTGGGCAAAACTTAACGATAATGAAGATTAAGATAATTACATTATAGCCAATCTTACCCGTTTTCACAGAATGCAAAAATTAGGTCTCCCGTTTCTGATTAGAGATCTGGTCCCGATTCTATTTCTGAACGTCTCCTGTTCACGTCAAGTCAAACGAACTATTTTCAACGTTTCTGGAACGTTTACGATCGTTCTATAATCGAACCAATATTCGAATTTTATGTTCGAATTTAATTCGAACAAATTCGAACAAATTTAAACATTGTTCGAATTAAATTCGAACAAATTCGAACAAAACATTCGAAATAGAAAGCCACTTTCAACCACTTTCAGCCCCATATCTCCCGCACCCTTATAGCTATCGAGACGCAACCACCCCTATGCACGAATAGAGACTTGGGGCTACTACCACATACAAACACCATTCACGTGCGATGTGTAGTTTTTGCGAAAAAGTGAAATATATGGACATACATGTCCATTTTTATATATATAATATAGATATAGATATAGATAATAATAATTAGTTTACAATACAGTTATTTCAGTATTTTACATACAATAAATATTTATTTATTAGCTTTTGTGTGAAAAGGAAATGACAACAGAAACTCTTTCAGTGGTGGTACCTAAAATTTTTTTGACATATTTACAAAAATAATATTTATTTCTAGAATTTTAAATACTAATTATTCATTGAACACTATAAAGTTAATTCGTATCTCTTATTAGGGAGATTAGAAATATTAATTATTTGATTTTAAATTAAATATATAATTTAATGTAAATAAAATCGTTAATGCTTACCGATTCGAATTCGAATATCGAACTTTAAAAGCGAATAATTCGATTTTTTTTAAATTCAATTAAAATATTACAAATAAACTCTGAATTTTGTAATTTTTTTATATAAAATTATTATAAAATTATAAATATTTAAAAACAATATTGCAATTAAATCTTTTAAATTTTAAAATTTAAATCTTTATTTTCCTTTGAAATACGACTTTAAATTTCTTTCGTTTCTGCGTTATTATCGCTAGCTATTGTTAAAGATAAGAAGAAAAACAACAGACAAACAACACTGAATGGTGTCATTCAACGTCGATTGCCTACTGTCGTTTAAATTGTTTTAAAGCGCGTGTTTAACGTCAGACTTGATAAACCCCGAATTTTCACCGCTTTATACTTTGTTTTATTTTAATCGGTAATAAAATAGCAAGAATAAACGGAATATAAGGCATATTTCAAAATGTAAAACACCGCTTGAATGAATTTCAATGTTTTTAAGATTTATGAAAGATTTTCAGGTAGTTTTAAAAGTGCTTGCAAAGTCTTATCGTATTTACAGTCAGGTAGGATTACATTATCACGCTTACATTATGATGATGAAACTCAATTCATGTCATAATGATATAATTACTTTAATGGATTCTAAAATGACGGCAAAATAACCACTCAGTGGCCATTATACAATCATTATATTTAGGAAAAGCCTTAATGGTGAACGCACATTGCACATCTATTCACTGGTTCAAAATTACTACTTGTTCTTATCAACATACCATCGTTGAGGAAGTTTCTTCTATTCAATTAGTACAGTACATAGAAAAATCGACTTTGAAACCTTCCTTTTCTCTGCCCTATCCTGTATATTTTAACCAATAACGGTAGCAGAAACAGCATTAAATTCATAATTTTATTTATGAATTTAATATAAAAACACATAAAGTGTAAAATTCTGATTCATATTATTTACTGTTACTTCTGAAATGCAATAGTTTCACACGTTTGAATTGTCAGTTATCTTTTTGCAAGGTATCGTACACAGAAGTAAGGAAAAGCGAAGTATTACTGGAGAATGTTCAAAAAGAGAAACATTTAATAGAATCAAATTATCTTGAAAAACAAAATTGAAAATCTACGAGTGCTAGAAAAATTTTTTCACAGAGAACATTTTTTTAAATTTCTCCCATCTACTTAATCACAATACACCACATATGAATAATATAAAAATAATACTTTACTCAAAATATATTATAATTGTTACCTACCTTTCTATAAATAAGAGTGCAGAAAGCTATTTTTAGTTTCATTAAATAATATTATGTCATAAACAGATTGGTATTATACACAAAGAAATAAATCGCAGTAACAGCAAAAAATCCTGCAAGTGTAACATAAACGTTGTAGTGATTCCATTCTTGTCTGTTTTCAAAATAACGTACTGTTGATCCTACAATATATGCTTGACTTACAACTACACTTGTAACTACAGCTGTTTCCTGTAATTATACGTAAATATCAGTTATTTCAATTATTTTAATACTAACTTCACCTCTTTATAATCGGGTGTCATAATACCTGAATTAGTACAAGTAATATTACAATCAAGTACTTCCAACCAACCAAACGTAAGGCAGCTTTCAGTATGCTCGGATTTTTCTTCTGCAATTCCTTTTTCCATTTCCATTCTCTGAAAAAATTTTGATGAAGGATCTAATTTAAAAACAATATTCAATAAATATTATTCAACTTTTGTAAAGTCATGTTTAGGGCTTTATAAAGCCTATTTTATTTTGAAAATACATAAAAAGACTTTTATTGCAGCACCACAGAATCTGGAATGTACAGTAATAACTGGCCACGCTAGTATCCTGCGAATCCGAACATTACTGGACAAGTGGTTTGTTATGATCCGGAGCCACAACAAAAATATGGTGTGTTTCTGTGCACGTTACTATACGACAAAAAATGGATATATTACCAGAGTATAGTCATATAATATTTCATTATAAGACAGAGTAAATAGCACGCTTAAACAAATCACAGACTTATGCATCGTTGCTTTGAGATGTCTGCTGTGGAAAGATTACATATAACTTATTAAAAATTTTGTTAGATATTAAATTGTAATATGTTTGCATTTTGAATGTTTCTGCTTGCACTGTAAATGTTTACCTACTAAATTTTTCAATTTTGAAAACTATAATTAACATTTTTATAATTTATAAATTCTCAGTATCTAAAATAAAAATAAATTACGTGTGTATTGATAATTTGAAAATTTGGTATAAATATATTTGCTATTCAATTTGATAAATGATTTTATAAATATTATTAATTATTATTAATGACTTTATTATAAAATATTCACTCAGCAGTGACTAACGAATATATCTGTCCAGCGCAATCGTGTGGCAGTAGTGAGAGACGGATACATCTGTTAAATTCTTTTGGGGGTAACGCCAAAAACTAGCCAATAACTACCGCGAAAATAATTCACATAAAAATGAATTATGTAACAATAAAAAAGATTTTTCTCTACTAGATTCAACTGTTTACAAAAATCTTTTTCCGAAACGGTAATGAAAAAAATCGTCTGGGAAAATACTTTAAAAAATTTCCCACGTTTATTTTCCACTACAAAAAGATAGCACCATATCTGAATAACCCACTGCTGAATGGTTACAGTTATATACTCTTTGTCTGTGGAACAAAATAAAAAAACATGACACCGAAGAAACATTTTCGAAAAAAAACAGTAATTGTTGTACAATAAATTGTACACAATAACTTGTTCCTACAATATAAATTAATTTTAGTTCGACTAACAAAAGTTATACTTGTTTCAGGGTAATTTAAGTAAATAAAAGTTCTATGTATATCATTTGTAAAATGCCATGATTAATGGAGCCTGCTTTATTTTGTTCTCGATCTATTCAATTATTAAAATAATATAGGAATGTTAATTTGATTAAAAATTTATCGAGTATTTCATCTTATTAAAAAACATTAGCCAAACTTTATTATTTATTTTATTTGATGTTTTTTCTGTTACTTTTTCAGATCTGTTTACCCTGTGGACACTAATGGGTTTTTCTTAGAGAGCCTGTCGTAGATTCAGATCACAATGAGACAACCAGTGCTGAGACAAACCTGGGCGTACTAAAATATCTAAACTGCAAACAAATTCAGAGTTTTAGGCATTTAAAATACAATTCTTTAACGCCGAAAGTAGTACGCTGCCGCATTAACTGCTCAACTGGGACTCATCGAAAAGTTTGAAAATATTCCAGATAAATTGAGCGGATAATCTATTAATTTTTGCGATATAACAGATAAAATATGTTTTGTTCATTATTTTGACAATAAAAATTTTGAAAGTCACGAAATTTTAACAAAATCTAGATAAAGTTAATATTGTTGTAGTTGTAAGTTTAATTAACAGTTTACTATGAATCAAGTATATACTATGAATTTTGTTATAACTTTCTATAACTTCAAATATTAAGTTAAGTGTTTCATTACAGAAGTAACAATAAGTAATTAATATGTAAAAAAGAATAAAAGAAATGAAACGATATTAGTTTTTCCTCTAATTATTTAGTTAAACTTCAGAAAATCATAAATGAAGCTGAAAGTATTAGGAAATAATAACTGAAATATGGATATCAAAAACTAAATAATAAACTTACTTTTGAAGTAGATCCCCAAGATATTGTGAAGTATGATATTGTGAGGCTTCGTATAAAACTTCTTCTTTCAAAATTCGCTTTCTTCCTTTGTTTATTATATGAAAAACCCAGCTGTAAAATAAACCAGTTACTTATTAATTAATCTTGCTTAACATATTTTTTTTGTACTGATAATTTTCAAATGATTATCGTTGTAGGTAACTTACAATGCAATGAACGATTTTCATTCATGTAAATCATTTATCGTTATCACTGTGATAGTTTATAGATAACGAATTACCTAAAGTATTTTAGTAAAGCAGCTTTAATTAGTGTATCATGTATCATTACTGATTACTATAATTACAAATGTGCTTGATAAACATTGTTGAACAACAAGCTTTATTTAATTAACGCAGTTCTTACTTTATATATAAAACATTAAAATATTTTCGCACAAATTGCATATTTTTACTTTTGCTGTTTTTTTTCTTATTCACTTATCTAAGTAAAATATTTTATACCTCATAACATTTTGATGTTCTTGAAAAAAA